TCTCTCTTCCATCGGCAGTGACAGACAGGCGTAAACTTTCCGGGCTTCAATCGAAATCATGATTCCGTTCCCACCGCCCACCGCTTGCACAACGCTACATCAACAGCGAGCTCAAACAAGGAACTGGTGAAAGGCAGAGTCGGCTCGGCACAGGGAGGCAGGGGATGCAAAGTAGGCTCGGCGGGGGAGGTCGAAGACGGCGCGATGCTTAGAGGGTTTGCATCGAGAATATGTGAGAGAAAGGATAAGTAGAAGGAAAACTATTTAACTAACAATAACTCTTTGCCGCTAAGTCCAAAAAATGGGCGGACTTAAAATTTCAAACGAAAAATTTGGCGGACAATTAAAATTTCGGCAACCCAAAAGTTATTTGTGATATATGTATAGAAAACTACATAATATGCAACCCTATGAAAAAGTGTTGCTATTGTACATTTAAGGCAACTCTTTAAGATAGAGTTGCAATCCATGTGTTGCAACAAGGTTTTTTTCCCGAGTCTCTACTTCTTCTTCAACTGTTATGTCTACTACTTTAAGTGGGATATGAAGGAAGAGAACAGGAAGGGCAAAGTTTGACTCCCTTATTCGAAATGTTGATTATGTTACATCAATGAAATTTGAGTTGGGTGTTTATCTTGGGGATGGTCATTACATTGATCTGTCAAATTGTGATCTTAATGTTGTTGAGTGGTGGAAGGAGCAACGTAGGAGTATAAAGTTTTATCTAGGATGGCTTGTGATGTTTTGACAATTCCTATAACCTCGGTTGCCTCTGAAGCTCCTTTTAGTGCCGGTGGAAGAGTGATTGATCCAAATCGTGCATCATTGGGGAAAAAGACGGTTCAAGCTCTACTTTGTTCTCAAGATTGGTTAAGAAAATATTAAGAGTGTTAAGGTGATTTTATATTAATTATTTTCCGTTTCCATTTAATTCCTATAAATTATGTGGTTTAACTATATATATTTTGTTTCTTTGTAGGCTCTGACCAAAAAAGAAGTTGTTGTTGAAGTTGACATGTCCTAGTTGTTATATTTTGGTGAGTTTCTCTTACTGTTTCTTTTTTTTTTCTTTGTGAGATTTCTTGAATTTTGTTTCGTCTATCTTTCTCTTACTTCTTTCTTTCTCTTTAGCCTATCTTTATGCATGGTGTGTCATAATTTGTTGTTGTTGTTGTTGTTGGTACTGTAGTATTAAGAATATGTACTAGAAAATCCATGTTTTTCTTTCTCTCTTCCCATTAGATGCATTCTCTATCTTTATATATTAGGGAATGTTTATTGTTTTGTGGGCAGCCTAACCAACTTAGCCTCTCTACAGCTTTGTTACTTAATGACTCAATATATTAGGGGCTGGTTTGATTATGATAAAAAATTTCAATTTTTCCCTGCATGTGGTTATCATTAGTAAGACTGAATGACATGCAGTGCAGGTGTTTCTTTGAATACATCTTGCTTATCTTATTTATTTATTTATTTATTTATAATTCTATAAGAACAATTTGGATATTTATGTTTTTAGTCTAGTTGCGTTGAGTGAAGACCAAGGTTGTCAAACCGGTTTATACCGTTGTGCCGGTTTGGCAAGTGGAATGATATGACCGGTGGTATAACTAGTTTGTGCCGGTTCATGCCGGTTTAAAAAAGTGTAAAAACAATTAATATCCAACCATGGTGAAGACTGTTGTGCTGAGTACTGATTATTCCCGAGATTTTCCCCGATTGGGGAGAGAGGGGAGGGGATAAAGTTAGGGCTCGGGGAGCCCTAAGTTTTCTGTAATTATTATTTTCTTTTTCGATAATTTGTATTTATTATTAGATAATGCAAATAATTATAGAAATTAAAAAAAAAATCGGGTTTGCTTATGTGGCAAGTGATTTGGCGCTTGACTAACGGTCAGTGGAGTTAACCGTCCAAATCTTATAGTCAAAATCCGTGTCGGGCAAGTAAGGAAGTATGGTGCATAGTTCAGGCCAGGGAAGCAATTTCAGAAACCGCGGGTCAAAGTAGAAAGTTTGGGTATAGTTCGGACCAAAATAAAGTATTAATCCTTTTTAAATTTTTAATTAATTAAATTCACTAAAACAACGCTCATTTTTGCTTAGAGTTTTTAAATTAATTATACCTGTCGTACCATTGGTGTTGACGCTCCAGGTTCAGCCGACCAGCACTCTACACTCTACAGGCTTCACAACCATGCTTGGTGGTCTTGCGCCACAACCAAAAATTGATAAGTCTAAAAAAATTACAACGAGCATCTCTTGGGAGAAAACTCTTGTTGAATTCTGTAAGGAAGTGGTTAAGCACCACACACGGACCTGTATAAGATCCAGCATAACCTTCTCCCAACAACTCGAGTTATTGGGACCAAGTGGTTAGTTCGCTAACATGGTATCAGAGCTGGTTTGTCCGTGAGGTCACGTGTTCAAGTCCTCACGACCCCCAATATTAACCGTTGTCTTTCAAGCACATGGTATGGCGGGCCTGTGCAAACTTCTAGCCCATGAGTCGGCTTTCGTTTGAGGGGGCGTGTAAGGAAGTGGTTAAGCACCACACACGGACCTGTATAAGATCCAGCATAACCTTCTCCCAACAACTCGAGTTATTGGGACCAAGTGGTTAGTTCGCTAACATGGTCCCAATAACTCGAGTTAATATTGGGGGTCGTGAGGACTTGAACACGTGACCTCACGGACAAACCAGCTCTGATACCATGTCAGCGAACTAACCACTTGGTCCCAATAACTCGAGTTGTTGGGAAAGGGATAGTTAAGCCTTTTAACCTCTTATACGCCCCCTCAAACGAAAGCCGATGCCGAATTGTGGATTTTTACGGTTTGCACAGGTTGAACCCTTGTGCTGCCAAACCACGAGGCTTTAGTTTGCACAGGTTGGACATACCATTCCTTGTGCTAAACAAATTGGCATGAAATGGGGGTCGTTATGAGGATTCGAAACCATGACCTTTCGGTTCTAGGCTCTGATACCATGTTAGCGAACTAACCACTTGGTCCCAATAACTCGAGTTATTGGGACCAAGTGGTTAGTTCGCTGACATGGTATCAGAGCTGGTTTGTCCGTGAGGTCACGTGTTCAAGTCCTCACGACCCCCAATATTAACCGTTGTCTTTCAAGCACATGGTATGGCGGGCCTGTGCAAACTTCTAGCCCATGAGTCGGCTTTCGTTTGAGGGGACGTGTAAGGAAGTGGTTAAGCACCACACACGGACCTGTATAAGATTCAGCATAACCTTCTCCCAACAACTCGAGTTATTGGGACCAACTGGTTTATGACAAAATCTGATTTGATCAGAACTATTGTAGAACTAACCTCCTTATATAGGAGTTACAAACTCAATGCGCAACAAAATTAACCCAATGCTAATTATGTTTAATCCATTTCTAATTTCCTAAAAGACTTCAACTTACATAGTACAGTACTTTGGGAAAAGAATTTTTTCTTTTTCTTTGAGTGGTGGCTAAATGGTGCCAAGTGCCAACAGCAAAGAACGAATAGTTTAGTTATAAGTGCAGTGTAGTTTAGTAATAAGTGCAGTGTAGTTTAAGATTGTCTGAAGCAGCACATGTATCATCATTCATGTATGTATATCTGTGGCGGCGCCTTTGTCGATCGGATTGACCGAATCTTGTTGTCGCGTTGAATACAGGTGTCCAAATGAAAAGGAAAAATGACGTGGCAGAAGAATGGAGAATAAACTACGGCAACAGGCAAGAGAAGCCGAGCGACAATTTGATTCAGAGCATTCAAAATTTTAATCGATGCGGCTAATCCTTGCCTCCCACTGTCATGCCGGCCGACATGACACCGGTTGAATCAGGTTCAACCAGTTCTGATAATGAAACCGACATGACACTACTGGTTGGACCGGAATGATTGATCTGCGAATTTTTATGTAAAATAATATCATTTTAGTGAATTTAAATATAAGTACATATAATTTTATTGAAAATATCACATTTTATTTCAATATCAATATGAATTGTACGTAAATTGTCTTCAAATATGGTTTATATATGATTAAATTCATTTGACACTATTGGTTTTTGATATTTCTACATATATATTATTAACCGGCATGAACCGGCACAAACCGATTGTACCACCGGTAGAATCATTCCATTTGCTAAACCGGCACAACGATATAAACCGATTTGACAACCTCGCTCCCACCCCAACTCTTCTCGTGATTTAAGGAGGGCACTTTTGATTTTTTTATTTATTGAGCCTTGTAGTGTACGGGAAAGTATTGATCCTTTGAGAAACAAATTAAACTTTTAATATATTATTAAAAGTAATATTTCAGTTTGTATTATAAAGAAATTTGAGTTTAGTAGATGTGAACTTTGTGGTTTGTGAATACTATTTGGTCGTTTTGTAGTTTGTGTTTGTTTCCAAGACATGCATTTTGGACGATTATGTAGTTGATCAAATATTGTAACGACTTACTTTGTTGACTGTTATGTTACTTATATATAGCTTAGTCTGGCCCTGCGGTAGCTTTTGCAGAAGCAACTTCTGGCTGGAGCTTTTAGATAAGTACTTAAAAAAAAAACAGTTGAGTGTTTGGCTGTAAAACTATTAGAAGTGCTTTTTAATATAAGAGGTTGTGTAAAATGACTATAAAGAACTTATAATATAAAATATGAATAAAAATTCTAAACAATAAAAAGTAGTCAAAATGGATCTTGTTAGATTTCTTTTATATTAAATAATATGATTTATAATTTCTTTTATTTTTAAAATGATATAAATGAAGGAAAATTATATTTTCTGAAATAAAATTAAAATATGGTAAGGATAATCTTGTATTTTCAAAACAGCTTTTCGCAGAAGCTCCAAATCGGAGCTTCTGCTTTTATGTTATACAAAAGCGCTTTTCGACTTTTCAAAAGCCGAGCTTTTACAGGTGTTTGGTCCTACTTCAGCTTTTGAACCCGAAAAGCACTTATAAAAACCGGGCCAAATATAGGGTATGTCTTTTTAGCTTATTCAAACTTATTATTCACTATATTTTGATTTTATTTCGATTTTACTCCAAAATAATACCCTAATTTTACCGATACAATAAATATTTTATCAATACAAAACCGTTGAACCCATATATCGGACTGACTAATACAAACGACTTTCGCTATGATTTCACAAACCAAGATCGTGTCTCGTCATCGCCACCACGGCCCACAGCCAGGCCAAAAATACCAAGCCAGCAAACGTAAAACGACACCTAGAATCTCTAAAAGTTGGATCTGAATTACCGACAATGAAAAAGTTGGGTTGGGAGACTTTCTCAAGTAGTTTGCCACTTTGCCACGAGGGAGAGGAGCGGACCATTCTCCATTCTCCACATCCCCGAGCCATCCATTCCCCACCTCTAAGCCCTACATTTATGCTCTCTGCTCGACTCAAGTAGAGTTGCAGAGCATCAGCAGCAGCCGCCGCCATGAATGTTATAGCAGCATTCGCCGGCTTTCTCGTGGCTTGTTTGGTGGCATTTACCCTTCAGGTCTTCTTCACCTCCCCAATTTCTCCCGACGCACTCCACCTCCCTTCTCTCTCTGGCCCTCAACCGAACAACGAATTACAGGTAACTACTCTCTCCCTCTCGCTCTCTTTCTCTTGTCTTTACGATGTAATAATTTGTACAACAAGCGAGCAAGGGATCTTCTTTCCTATTAGTGGGTTATTATCATTAATGCTTAAAGTTTCCATCTTTTGGCAACCTTGGCCGAATCTCGTAGAAGGTGAGCAAAATAGGGGAAGGAGTGATTGATGGGCCAGAGGATCTTTTCGTGGACAAGGATGGAGTTCTGTACACAGTGACCAGAGATGGTTGGATCAAAAGAATGAGAATCCATGGAGATGGCTCCTTCGAGAACTGGATGAGGATCGACAGCTCCGCTGGCCTTGGTATCACGCCTTCCAAGGATGGTGGAGTTCTCATCGCCGATGCTGAATTGGTAAACCCTTACTCACCCATTCTCTATACACACAGTTAGTTAGCTGTATCTACTTGTCACAGGACACCTTAAAGAGCGCCCTTTGGCGACTCGCTTATTGTTATGTTCATGGATGTTGCGGTTTGCACTTGCAGGGTTTGCTCAAGGTTACTGATGCAGATGGCCCTACTGTCCTTGCATCGCACATCAATGGAGCCGAGATAAGGTGACAATTGTTAGTTTGTAATGTCTCCATATCTCTATGGCTTTGTATATGGTATACTCATTATGTTTTTTTGTGTGTGTATGTCTTGCACATTCATCATCATTTGATTTGTCTCGACACGATCTCAATCTTCAATTATGTAACAATAGACGAGGAAAATGGATGAAATTGCGTAAGAATGATTTATGAATTATGATTTGCTTGTATTTGGAGCATTCCTAAAAGTCTGTTAGGTGCACCTGCATAAATTCACCTGATGATTACGAATGCAGGAATCAGTTATAACTCTCGGGTAAATGGTTATACTAGACAAAATGCTAGCAATTAATAGTTTCTTTTTTATGACTGAATTCCATTTTTGTTTTTACTAGGTTACAGAGTTAGTAAGTGCGCCATAGAATCCTAGTGAAATGAATGAAGCTTCGGAAATCTCGTCATTGCTAACATCGTTTATGAAACTTTCCAGCAAGTGGATGTTGTTTATTAACCCGCATATATGCAAGCATCATCTGATATGTGAATTGCTCCTTTGGATGATGATCATGGTGGTCAGATTTGCAGAAGAATTGGTGGAATCTTCAGACGGGACCGTGTATCTCAGCATTCCATCCACCAAATTTGGGTACCACAACTGGTATCATGACATTCTGGAGGCAAAACCAAATGGCCAGATTCTCAAGTACGATCCATCTACCAATCAGACGACCGTTCTTCTCGACAATCTTTGTTTCCCCAACGGGGTTGCACTTCCCAAAGAAGAAGACTATCTCGTGTTCTGCGAGACATGGAAGTAAGTATTAGTGATGAATGTATGTTGTACAGTATGGGGAAACTTGTTTGATTGAAATACAGAAACATGTTGACACTACTTCTCTAGTTAGATACTGCAGATGATATCTCTATGAACAAAATGGTTTTTGGGTCTGCCAGGTTTAGATGCCAGAAGCACTGGTTAACTGGGGAGAAGAAAGGCAAGACTGAAATATTCGTGGAGAACCTCCCTGGGGGACCTGACAACATACATTTGGCTCCCGATGGATCGTTCTGGATCGGTCTAATACAGGTTAGTTTAGATATAGGCATGTCTGATGAGGCATCTCCGAGCAACTTTTCTTATCGTTTTGGTGTTTTTTGCTGGGTGCACAGATAGTCTCTGAAGGCCAAGGGTTTCTGCATGCTTCAAAGCTGCTCAAACACTTGGTAGCATGGTCTCCAAAGCTGCAGGATTTCCTGTCGAGGGTGCTTTTCACAAAGGCTAGAGTTGTGAATGTGGGAGCAGATGGAAGCATCATCAGGATGCTTGATGACCCTAGTGGAGAAGTGATCAGTTTCGTGACCGCTGCTTTCGAGTTTGAAGGACATCTCTACCTGGGCAGCCTGACTGGAAAGTTCATTGGCAAGTTGCCTCTATCCGGAACATGAGTGACTCGGGGAAAATTATGATTCAAAGCGAAGCTTGGAGGAAACCTATGGCTCTCCCACACCCCAGCAGAGATATGGTGTTCACAGATAAGAGGGAAGGGGAGACTGCTGGCTTCAAGGGGTTAGGAGGAATCGTTTTGGTTGTTTTACTATACAGGCCTTGTTACGTTTTTCCTTGGACAATTTATGCTTGGTATAGGGTTAATCATGAATCCTTCTAATTCTCGTCATATGTTCTTCCTCCAAAGCATAATCTGCTCTACTTTTGTTCTTTATTCCTTAATTCCTTTGGTCATTGAGGGGACGTCAAGATGATAGACGTTTTATTTATTTGGGATTAATGTCGGTTTGAATTATTTAGTTCGGGATTAAATTGGTTATTGGGCAATAGATGGGGGAATTAATAAGTTGGGGTAGTTAGTCGGTAATTGTGTTTTGGTATTTAAACTATGGTTTTACGTAGGTAATGGCAAGCAAGAATAAACCTAATTCCTATTTGCTCTCCCTCTTCCTCTCTTCCCTCTGTGACCGCCGAACCCTTCCCTTCCTCTTCCAAGCTGCCGCTCGGCAGCAGCCTATTTCCCCTCTCCTTCTCATCTCAAATCCCCTAAATTCTTCTACCCTCAATCTCCCAATTTCCTGGATCAATCCCTAGTTGATCCCTAATCCCCAATTCCCCGATAGAGTTTAATCCGGAGCTCTATCATTTGGTATCAGAGCCTGGTTCTTGGGTTCGAATACAAACAGAGAACGACGAGTGCAATGGTGTCCACGAAATCGATGCAAGCAGCTGAGAAGGCCGCCAAAGCGGCGGCGCAAGAGCAAGCCTCGATCGCGGTCTCGACCGGGCTGCCGGAAGCTGGCGGCGGCGGCCATGGGACCTCCGACCCGCGGGACGGGGAGCTGGTGGACGAGACCGAGAAATTGGAGCTGATCCAGACCACCTTGGATCGCCTGGTAGCCGAGTTCGAGGAAGAACGCGATGAATGGCGGGCTGTCCGGCGCGAACAAGGTGAGCAGCGGCGCGTAGAGGAGGAGGAGTCCCGGAGAGTTTGGAAACGGTTCGACGAGGTGCAGAGGATCGTGGAGGCACTGGCCACCGCGCACACCACCGGGCCGAAGAATAGCAGCGGCGGCGGTGAAGGGGGTGGTACCCGGAGCGGGCCGGGGGAATCGCCGGCGGCTGGGGACGCGGAGGCGAGCGCCGCGGCGGCTGCGGGCGACGCGCGGAAGGGGGTGGCAGAGGCGGCGGAGGTGGTGACCTCGGGCGGTGGGGGCAACCTGCCCGGCGGCGGCGAGCGAGTGGGCCCTGGTCAGCAAGGACGCAGCAGCGGACCTGGGCTGCTACCGACACCAACGGCCCAGGAGTTGGCGGCCCGCAAGGGCAAGGCCAAGATGCCAGGGTATGACAACGGGGCCCAACCGACTGGGTATGGGCCGACTAGGCCAATGGGCCGGGCTGATACTGTGGGCTCTTATTACGAGCCCAGAGGGCTGGGCTGGCTGAACATGGGCCCGGAGCAGACCGAGGAAGAGCTCAGCCTGGTGGGCCAGACTGCACCGTGGGCCGACCCGGCTGGTGCTGAAGATTATTTGGGCCCTGGGCCGATAGGGGGCCGAACCGCGCGGAGTGGACCAGTGCAGGTGGGCGGCTTGGGCCGAGGAGGCGGGTCAAACCGCCAAGTCGAGTAGGGACCGACCGACCCAGGTTGGGGCGGAACCGGGCGGGGCGAACCAGGGCGAGTTGACCCGGGCCAACCCAGAAGTGGACCAAACCGGTTCGGGCAAGGGTTGGTCAGATCGGCCAGCATGGACCCAAATATGTGGCAGGGGTCGTATGGAGGGGGAAATGGAACGGGTCCGATGGGGAAAGGAGCCGCGGGCAGTTTTGGGCGAGGAAGAGGATCACCGCTCTACCAGAACCAGCTGGGTGATCCGGGTTATGACAGGTATGGTTCATATCACCCTGCTTATGATGGAACTGATGGAATGGTCTTTAGGGCCAAGCCCCCGACCATTGAGTTTCCCAAATTCAACGGTCAGGAGGATACCGGGTTGTGGTTGTATGCAGCAGAGCGGTGGTTCAGAAACCATCCCATACCGGAGGAAAAGAAGGCGCATCTGGCGTCCTTCTATTTAGAAGGGGAAGCTCTGCAGTGGTGGGAATGGATGGAGAGATCATATGGGGCGGTGGGAACCTTGATCACATGGCCGCTGTTTCAGGAGGAGCTGTGTTACCAGTTCGGTAAATCTGAGGGATGGGAGCCGGAACAGTTGGCCAAGCTTAAGCAGACCGGCTCAGTAGCGGATTACCGTGCTGAGTTCTTCAAACTGGGCAACCAATGCCATGGGGTTCCATAAGAGACATTGGTGGGGCTGTGTATGGCGGGCCTGAAGCCGGAGATTGCTGCTGCTGTCCGGGTCTTTGAACCGGAATCCTTGAAATCTGCTTTTCGTCTTGCAGGGTACAAGGAAGAGGAGCTTGCTAGTTGGAGGAGCACCATAGGCCGCTACCCGAGGGCTAGTGGTGCAGGGAGCAGTGGTGGAGGCGGCAGTGGAGGAGGAGGAGTGGCAGGAGCCACGGCTGGAGCTGGGGGATCCGCGGCGGTGCAGGCGCCAGGAGCGGCTGCAAAGGGTGGGGCGTGACCGCCACCGAAGGGGTTTGTGCGACTATCTCCAGCAGAGATCGAGCAGAAGTGGCGGGAAGGGAAGTGCTTTAACTGCGACGAGAGGTTCACGATCGGTCATAAGTGTGCACGTCCGGACTTGATGATGCTGGTCGGAAGGTGGGAGGACGAGGCGGAGGATGAGGCGAGGGAAGGAGAAGATGCGGGAGACGGCTATCAACCTTGAGGACAAGGTTGTTTTGAAGAGAGCGAGAATGATAGACGTTTTATTTATTTGGGATTAATGTCGGTTTGAATTATTTAGTTCGGGATTAAATTGGTTATTGGGCAATAGATGGGGGAATTAATAAGTTGGGGTAGTTAGTCGGTAATTGTGTTTTGGTATTTAAACTATGGTTTTACGTAGGTAATGGCAAGCAAGAATAAACCTAATTCCTATTTGCTCTCCCTCTTCCTCTCTTCCCTCTGTGACCGCCGAACCCTTCCCTTCCTCTTCCAAGCTGCCGCTCGGCAGCAGCCTATTTCCCCTCTCCTTCTCATCTCAAATCCCCTAAATTCTTCTACCCTCAATCTCCCAATTTCCTGGATCAATCCCTAGTTGATCCCTAATCCCCAATTCCCCGATAGAGCTTAATCCGGAGCTCTATCACAAGATCCCAAGCACTCATTTATAGAGGTTGGGAGAAGTTGTATGGATGCATACTTAACTTTGGGTCTATCTTTCCTTGGTTCATAATGACAGAGTGACAGTAACTTCAAAGTCTGGTGTAGGATGAAATGCATAACATTTTTTTTTTTTTATAAATAGGAGCATAATCAGATCTGATTATGGCGTTTCAAGTGGGGAAAAATGATGATTGGGATACCTATTTTTTTAATTGATTTTATTTCGTTTTCATTTAAATAGAATTTTGAGAATTTTCAGACAGAAAGAACGAGTTTATTGTTATCTACAAAAGATTTGTATTTTCTATATATTTTGGTTCTACATATTCTCGAAAGGATTATCGATAGCAAAAATATTCGGACTATTCCTTACCATATTTTACCACTTTCGTTTTAACTTGAATTTTGAATTTTTTTAATACAGAAAGAATGAGTTCATTGTGTCTAAAAATAGTCCAAGATCGAGTAAATAACTAGATCTAGACTTTTAGTTTTAAGTGGTGCTAGATATAAGTGATGAGAACTAATAGATTTTTTTATTTTTTCTACTTTTCTTAATTGGCTTCTATATTCTTCATTCCAACTTGGATTTCAATTTTTTTTTCATAGACGGAATGAGTTTGTTGTGTCCTACAAAATGATATCAATTTTCAATATATTTCGAGGAATTTTTTTCATACAACCAATATCACAAACCACACACGTGAGCTCCCATCTTCTCCCTTTCTTTTCCCGCCGCTCCTCTTGTCTTTCCATCAATCACCAGAAAAATAATCCCCCTTTCTCTGGAAAAAATCCAAAACTACCACTATAAAAAAATTCCAAAAATACTATCCATACTCAACAATTTCCAAAAATACCACCCTTCCACACAAAACGCGCCTCGAAGGCGCGGTTCACATTCAAACCGCGCGTTCAAGAGGCGGTTTGACCCTTCCTATCTGTCAAAACGCGTCGCCACGTGGCGGCCCATGCGACCTCGCGACGGGGAAGCGATCTGACGGCCAAACCGCCCGCCAGCTCAGCGATCCGCGTCGCTCAGTCAAACCGTTGCCCCGAGGTGCGGTTTGCGCGTTGGGGAACATAAACCGCGCGCTGGAGGCACGATTTTAAGTGGGGTAAAAAGACGAAACCGCCCCTCTAGCAAGCAGTTTTGTCCCTATATAAACCCCACCCTCCTCCCATTTTCTGCACACCAAACCCACATTCCCCCCCCCCCCCTCTAACTCCTCACTCTACCCACCCCCTCCCCACCCAAAAACCTTAGAATTAATTTTTTTTTGACAACCAAAAAACCTTAGAATTAGTTGTTTTGTTGGTTGCGGCTAAGTCCGATCTGCCTTCAAAAAACTTTTTCTTTGGTTTTCACTAAAAAACCGTCGAATCTCTGTCCAGATTCTTAAAAAATGGCCGATTTTATCCAAGAAGAGGGTATTTACTATGATAATTATCAAGCGGTACGTACTCATTTTACCCAATTATTGTTGTTTTTGTTATAATGATTTATTTAATTTATATACTGATTGATTTATATTGTTGTTATGCTATCGTAGGTTGGGCCGGATGTTGATATATACAATCAACGATATTATGTTGATCAAGGACCGATTGATCCGACTATTTTATACGATCAAGCCAATCATCGTTCAGGAGACGTTTGGAACGACCACAAGGTACATATTATTTATCATCACTTGTAATTTGTATTTTGTTAAAGTAATTTTTTGTTTGTACAATAATTTACTTAATTGTTAATCGTATTGATTATTTTCAATAATATAAATCAATATAATACAACACTTATTTAGACTCTTTATAAAGAAATGCATGTCTAAGGAAATGGGGTCTTAAGCGATCATCATGATCCCCCCATGACCTGGAAAAATTGGGTTCTAAGACTAACTCCAACCCTGAAAGGGGAATTTAGCTCCCCAAATGGCCAAATATGGCTTTTTAGCTCCCCAAACCCACTTTTCACTCCAACCCTATAAAAAGCTAAATTTAGCTTCCCATTTCCATTTTTCAATTTATTTCAATAAACCATACTTATTTGACCTCTAATTTTTATATTTCACTTTAATTTTTTCATAACTC